AGCTTTGTATTATTGATGATAATGAGGGCAAAACAGTGGAAGACACAGACATTGTTTTCAGTAACATGAATCATTGATGAAATTATAGTGAGTACTTAAGAACTATTTTTCTGTCATAATAGAAAAACAATGTTCCTCAAGTAATAACGTTATAATGTTTCCTTCATTTAACATCTACACCGTTGGACTGTGACCAGCAGGCATTTTAGAATCTTTTTTAATGTCTTGATTTCTTTTCTTCTCTTCTAATAATGGAGAAGATATAACCAATTTTTTTTCCTAAGGAAGCAAGTGCACCATTAAATAAGGCAATTAACAAAGTAATTATCCAAAACTAAGTTATTTTTCCATGAAGTTTAATGTTAAAGGAAAACATTACTGTGATACGAAGACTTTAATGCATCTCTCAGTGTTTTTTTTCAGGATGTCTATGTTTGGATTATTTAAAATATATATTATACCCCCAAGGAAGAGCTGAGGATTTCTAGTACCATAGTTAGTATTAGAGAAGCTGATGGGATGCATGACCTTTTTCGTTTCAGCCCACTGGGAAGCTGATGGTATAGTATTTTTGCAACTGTCCTTTAAAGCTAAAGGAAGGCTTACCTAACTCATTGAAATGTCAAGGCATTCTATAAACATATTTTTAATTCAGTATACCATTTAATAAATAGGTCGCCTACTTAAATGCTTGGTTCACAGAGAAAGGACTCATTGTAAAGGTGAAGCATTCTTTAAAGAAAAGTTTTATGAAATGACAAAGAAAATGCATATATATTTGTGGCCTTCAGTATGTTTCGTTGTTTAAACAAGTAATTAAGGAGTTCTGAAGACCACATATGTTTAAATAAACATTTTTGATCTAGTATTTTGAGTCCTAATTCAGAACCACTAATGTGCATTTTCGAGTATTGCAACTTATTTCATTGTTTTGTTTTAAATTGATCTCGTTTTTAAGTGTTCACACTTCAACTTTTAAATAACTGGAGCAATAGAGGCCAGGTTGCATTTCTGTATGTACCTTTTGACATTCACGAAAACTGTAAGTTGTTTCATAATGTCTTTTAACCTGCCCAGTAATATTGTAATAATTTTTTATTTGTGATCTGAGCCTTTTTAGCACTTCTTTGGCATACTGCTGATCATCTCCCTTTTCTGCCTTTATGTGGTAATTCTAAATTTACCATTCCCTTCACGTTTTCTGTTCTCTCAAGACCCTATCCCCTATACTAAAGAGATGACATTGCCTTTTTAATTCACAGAGAAGGGCTGGGTGCAGTGGCTCACGCCTGTAATCCCAGCACTTTGGGAGGCCAATGCGGGCGGATCACGAGGTCAGGAGATTGAGACCATCCTGGCGAACACGGTGAAACCCCATCTTTACTAAAAATACAAAAAATTAAATGGGCGTGGTGGCACACACCTGTAATCCCAGCTACTTGGGAGTCTGAGGCAGGGGAATTGCTTGAACCTGAGAGGGGAAGGTTGCAGTGAGCCAAGACCGTGCCACTGCACTACAGCCTGAGCGACAGAGCAAGACTCCGTCTCAAAAAAAAAAAAAAAAAAAAAAAATCACAGAGAAAATAAATGCCATGTAATATGAACAGCCCTAACATCCTCTTCCATAGTCTCAATGGTCTGTTCCTTTACATGTCCTTTTGGCTTTGTTCTGTCTTAGAGAAAGGACTTTTTTTCCTTGTGTGTAAGATTAACCTTTCTGCTTTTCCCTTTATTCCATATCTTGTATTCTTTGAGGTCTTGCACCATCAGGTAGTGTTTCTTGGGTATGTCTAATTTCTTGGTGTCTTCAGGTTCCTCTCCCTTGCCTGTAACAGTGCTCGGATCTCTTCCACTTTAGAGTCTCTTTTCTTTCGTAGGGCTTCACATGAACTTGGAGTTGCTGTTCTCACTTTTCTTCTTTTGTTCAGTCCTTCATTGTCTTCTGGATTTCTGTTATATTCTAATGAAAGTAATGTTCCTGAAGTCATTCAGTAGTAACAATCATGATAGTATTCATATAAGAATAGTTAATATTTAAGCCCCATTTGTATGCGCAGTACTATTCTTAGTAGCTTATATGGATTATCTCATTTAATTCTCACAACAACCCTATGAGGTAGGAAACTGCATGAGGCGGAATATTGTGAGATTAAGAGCTTTGAATACCTAGTTGCCTGGGTTTGGATCCTACTTATACTGCTTAACTAGCTCTGGGATCTTAGGTAATATTTGACGTTGTTTATACTTCCGTTATCTATAAGTTGGAAATAATACCTACCTACTGACCTCAAAGGGAAACTGAAACATAAAGAGGTTAAGTAACCTACAGATTTGCACGATTTAGATTATAACTCAGACAGCTCTGTTAACCACTTTTCCTCTATTCCATGCTGTTGGTAACCACATTGATAAAAGCAGTTTAGTGGCTAAGTAATTTTCAGTTTTTCTGACCTTCCTGTATCAGTTGGTATTTCCCTTAGCATGCCTGTAGTCCCAGTTACTCGGGAGACTGAGGCGGGAGAATCGCTTGAACCCGGGAGGCAGAGGTTGCAGTGAGCCAGTATCGCGCCACTGCACTCCACCTGGTGACAGAGCTGGACTCCGTCTCAAAAAAAAAAAACAAAAAAACAAAAAAAACCCAACTTTGTTTTCTGAATGTTTCCGCATTACCAGGAACTTGTACCACTGGTGACAACTAAGATTTATTTCATTGTTTTCCTATTTGTGCCCACTTCCTAAATACTGTTTTTTGAGGTTTGATGCTTCCTTCTGTTCCCTCTTCTTTTTCCTTTAGGACTAGAATTTTAGGTTATAATTTCTAAAATCTCTAGGCTAGACCACTCTTTAAATTTCCAGATTCTTGATTTCAACTTCTTCAGTGTCCTATAGGTACCTTAAACTCAATTTATGTGAATACTTCACTTCTGATTAATATATACATATATATTTTTGTCTCCTAATGTGGCTGAAGTTCTAGTTACAGGAGTGGGAAAAATATTGGTTCCCCATTTTCTGTTCACTTGTGCTTACGTTAATACTTCTGCAGTTTATTTCTGTGCAATAATCTTTTAAAGTGGTTATTTTGTGAAGGTTAGATTACATTTAAACTAGATACTAACTATCCTTGAATCCATTTCCCTAAACTGCAGTACCTTGTGATACACTGAAAGAGAATTGGAGAGTATGAGAAATAACTGTCTCTCTCTCTACATTGTGGAGACCATTGTTACGGTATGGGAGACATGAAAGCTGACATACAGAGTGAGGAAGCCAGTGTCAGTTTATACATTGAATACTGGTAAATATTTCTTCCTTGTTTGGGTTAAAAACGAATGTAAATAGAATTTTTTACATATTTTCCTGTGTCCTAGTGGGTTGTTTTATATACTGTCTGGGAAATGCATAATCAACTTTCAATGTTAGTAGTCTATAGGATAAAGGTTAAAACTACTCACTATGGCATACAAGTCCCTATACAGTTTTATTTTTGTTTCTGGCTACTTTTCACTTCTGTGGCCATTCCTCTTCTCATACCATATCTTGCAGCTTCATTTGGTTATAGTATTCATACCTCCTTTGTTTACATTGTTTTGTTAGTCTGAAATGTTCTTTTTACCTCTTCATGCAAAATTTTTCCTGTCCTTCATGAACCAGCATACATATTACCTTTTTTGGGGAGTTTTCCTGAGAATGTAGTGTAGTACAGTGGAATAAATAACATAGGGTGTAGTCTTTGACTAATGGAGATGTCTGTCTGAATTTTAATTTTGACTTACTTCCTGAAAGCTCTCTTGCTTTGGGCAAACTACTTTGCTGTGCTTCATTTCCTTATCTGCAAAATTGGTATAATAATACTATCAATTTTATGAGTTATTAGGAAGATTATTTTAATGAGATTTATATGTGAAGTACCTGGCCATAGTGAGTTCTTTATAAACGACATCCCCTGTAATTAACTGTAAGATGCAATTTGTAAAATATTTTCATTTTATCATCAAGATAGAGATATATATTTAAAGCAATTCTAATGTCATCTACACAAAGCTATAAGTAAATAGAGAGTGCAATTGAGGAAATATCGTGGTGGTTGCCTTTTTTGTGCTCTTACTATTTGTACATACCTGTCTCAGTATTTTATTTATATAGGTACTATTTTGTATCTCACTGTGTTAGACTGTTTTTGCAGTTGCTGTAAAGAAATGCCTAAGACTGAGTAATTTATTAAAAAAAGATATTTAATAGGCTCATGGTTCTGCAGGCAATACAAGGATAGCATTGGCATCTGTTAGGTCTTCTGGGGAGGCCTCAGGGAGCTTTTTTACAGGGGCAAAATGAAGTGGGAGCAGGCACTTCACATGGCAAGAACAGTAGCAAGAGAGGGTTGGTGGGAGGTACCACACACTTTTAAACAACCAGATCTCACGAAAACTCACTATTTGAGGCCAGCACCAGGCCATGAGGGATCTGCTCCCATGACCCAGTCACCTCCCACTAGGCACCACGTCCCACATTGGGGATTACATTTCAGCGTAAGATTTCAGGGGCTATATATCCAAACCATATCGCTTATCAAGCATATCACCTGGCCCATAGTAAACTATAGATGTTGATTGAAAGTGTAAATGAGTTTACTTATTTCTTGGACTACATTTCAACGTAAGATTTCAGGGGCTATATATCCAAACCATATCGCTTATCCAGCATATCTCCTGGCCCATAGTAAACTATAGATGTTGATTGAAAGTGTAAATGAGTTTACTTATTTCTTGGACTATCACAAGAGAGTCTTCATCAGGCTGTGATTTTTTTCTCCCCTGGTAATATGAAATTTAACATTTTTAACATTTAAATATGGAGTCACTGGATTTGCATTGTGTTGTTCTTCAGGACTGTATCAACTCTTTTGTTAGCTTAACTTGGTTAATACTTAAAGTATAAACATAATTCCCTTGTTTAAACATTAAATACAAATGGAGATTCTGCTTTTATTTTGCAAGAACGTTTACTGAAGATGACCTTAGAAGAGAGACGCAAAGAATACCTAAGAGACTATGTTCCCCTGAACAGCATTCTATCATGGAAGGAGGAGATGAAGGGCAAGGGCCAAAATGATGGTAAGTTTCTTGGAACATTTTTTAGGTAGATATTGTTCCCATTTGTTTATGACTCTTTAATGAATAACTGGCATTCAATAAAGAGATTACTATTTTGGTATTTGAAATTATTGTTTGGCTATGATTTTATTGTTTTTAGTAACCTATGGTGTTTTTTAAGCTTAGGAAAGTATATTAACATAATTTGTGTTCTGAAATATACCACATTTATAATATGGTACTTCTTTTACAGGTCCTTTGTTTTTCTATTCTATAGCAGTTCTTGGAGCAAATGCTATTAGAGATTTGCTGCTTTGGTGGTGTGGCCCTTTGAGTTTGCTTTAAGTTCATTTACAATGGATTTTCTAATGTTATTTTAAGGATTGGGGATACAGTTGAAAGAGAGTATATTAGGAAAAATAGAAAAACCAAAGAACATTTATTATTATTTTAGAGAATATATTTTGTATGGTGTGTTATTATTTCTATATATAAAATATTTGTATGACAGAATTTACTCTCAAAGTCTTTATGATTTGGTGAGAATCTAGATTATGTTAGAATATAAAGGAAGTTTTAAGGATTCAAAAGGTACGTGAAAAAGTTTCTAAAAACAACATAATAGATTTAATGGATGTTTAATATGCTTATCTTTGAATTAACACTCATTGGTATTAATGATGTGGATGTAAAGTTCAGACAAACGGTGCTTCTTAAGGTACTTAACAGTTGAGAAAGACTTTATGAAAGAAATGAACTTGAAACATGCTAATTTCACAGGTTGCGGTCTTAGATCGATTGAACTACACAGGGTACTATGGGTCCAGAAAATAAAGACTAGCGTGGAATTCGTATGGATAAAATCTTAAGGGAAAGATTAGGCCTTGGTGTCTGTCAAGAGAACACATTGACCTGAGGATTTGGGTTTTAGACACAACTTTGTTTTTCTAGAAAGGCAAAGCATATGGGATTGGGAGTGAAAAGCTGTGGATTCTTTTAGACCTTACATAGCCTGGAAACGTGTGACCTTGGGCAAGCAGGGTAGCAGCTCTACCCCAGGTTCTAATGGGGTCATTGGACAAGCTGATTGGAATATGCACATCTGACTGTCTGCCCAGTGTCTTCAGTAAATGCAAGTTGTTTTAAGAATGGTCTGATTCCAAACTGGTAAGATTTGCCTTAAAAAGCCCCTGCCTGACCACGTGAGCATCATGGAACCCAAAGATGAAATGCTGCCCACCACCCCTATCTCAGAAGGGTGGGAAACCAGAGCCACCTGCATTGTCCCAGCCAGTCCCCACAGTGTAACAGGGTCTCCTTGGCAGCTGTATTCTAGAGTCTGGTTGTTGCTCTGTAAAGACCTTTAATAAAATCTTGTACAAAGGTTAAAAAAAAAAAAAAAAAAAAAGAATGGTCTGATTAAGACATCAGTGAAAGAGAAAAGAAAGCGCTGTATAATGAAAAGAATACAGGGCTAGAAATCAGGGGAACAGAATTCTGGTCCCTTATCTTACCTAAGGCTATGTGCCTCTTCATGTTTGGGTCTCAGTAATTTCTTTTTTTTGTTCATAAGCAACTGGTATTGAGTATTTCAGCAGCAGCAGCAGCTTTTTTTTTTTTTAAATGGCTACAGGTTGAGTATCCCTTATGCAAAATGCATGGTACCAGAAGTGTTTGGGGTTTGGGATTGTTTGGATTATACTTGCTGGTTCAGCATTCCTAATCCAAAATCCAAAATGTTCCAGTGAGCATTTCCTTTGAGCATTATGTTGGTGCTCAAAAAGTTTCAGATTTTGGAGCATTTTGGATTTTGAATTTTTGCGTTAGGACTACTCAACCTGTACTAAATGTTCCCCAAATCAGAAAATAATACATTGGATAAAATGACACCTAACATAGTTATCCTTTAACAAGACACTGTATGTTTAATCCTGCCTCCCAATATGAGCTTTATAAGTGGTTTACAACTGCTCTGTGTGTTTCTTATTTTCCCCCTTATGCCGTTTTAAACTTGAAAGTCCTCCATGGGGAACAAGGTGATGTGATCAAAATTATATTTCTATTTTTCCTGAAATGTTACTTGCTCCTCTCTTTTGTGACCTAGAAACTGGTGACTGGCCTCTTCCTTTTTCATGAAGTGGAATGGCTCATTTTACAAGTAATATTTGTAAATATTTCTATACAATACACATTTTTAATATGACTTTTTCTTGTGTTACCTATTCAGTGCTCAGGTATTAGAAAATATTAGTCAAGAGAGTTTTAGTGTTTTAACAGTTTAAAAGATCCTTTAAAAATATAAATTTACAAAAAATAATAAAGGACAACTATACATATGGTTATACTTGAAAAGTTTAAGTCATTGCTTATACACATATGTGTATAGGTATTGATATTTATATTAAATATGGGATTTTAAACTTAAGTTTTAAAAGAAGTCTATAAATCCTTGTCACTTAGTTTCTAATTGTAGGAAATGAACAATATTTATTGGGCTAGGACAGTATATCAGTTTTTAATTTAGTAGCTTATCATTACTTACGTTTTTATAGAGGGCCATTTTTGCCTGAATATTCCTGAGTACTTGAATAGTTCTTGAGCTATTGCTTTTAATTTTTTTCTTGCTTTGTTCAGATTTATTTTACTTTAACCAAATGCTTCTTGTTTTGTTATAGCATAGTAGAAAGTTAAATAAAAAAGAGGGGAGGGGCCAAATGTATTTGTAACAATGTGGGTTTTAAGCCTTCTTAAAACAAAAGGAAACAAAATATTGCCGAGGAACACAAAATCAGTGTTTGTGTGGAAAGGTGGAAGCAAGTAGATAGTATTTTTACTTTAACTTGCGCCTTTGATAATATTGGAAAGCCATGAATTAGAAGAGGAAAGAATGGGAGATGATTACCAAAAAATAAAAAAACCCAGAAACAAAAACCCCACCCAGAAAAACCCATTAAATACATAATTTGCTTGCTGTGTTAAACTGTTGTTAGCTAATCTCTAGACTTACATATTTCTGATTACTTCTTCCTCTGTATTACCAATTATGTCAGTTGCTATATTGCAGGGATTTTAAAAGTCTTGCCTCTCCTATTGTACTATGTCTCTAGCACCTGTAATGGTGCCTTCTGGGTTGGTGGGGCTCAATCAGTAAGTTAAATATTGCCTCAGGAGTTAATAGCCTACCAGGGACAATTCTTTCTCCAAACTTTTTTTTTGAGACTGAGTCTCACTCGTCCTCTGGGCTGGAGTGCAGTGGTGCGATGTGGGCTCACTGCAGCCTCCACTTCCTGGCTTCAAGCGATTCTCCTGCTGAGCTCCTGAGTAGCTGGAATTATAGATGCGCACCACCACGCCTGACTAATTTTCGTAGTTTTTGTGAAGATGGGCTTTTACTCTGTTGGCCAGGCTGGTCTTGAACTCCTGATCTCTAGTGATCTGCCCACGTTGGCCTCCTAAAGTGCTGGGATTACAGCCGTGAGCCACTGCACCTGCCTCTTTTTCCAAACTTTTAATGAGCACTTATAAATATATGTAAAACTAGAATACAGTCATGTGCCACAAAATGATGTTTTGGTCATTGACAGACTGCATATATGATGGTGGTCCCATAAGATTATAATACTGTATTTTTACTATGCCTTTTCTTTGTTTACATAGGTTTAAATACACAATGACTTACCATTGTGTTATAGTTGCCTACAGTATTCTGTACAGTAACATGCTGTATGGGTTTTAGCCTAGGAGCAATTGGCTGTACCATATAATCTAGATGTGTAGTAGACTGTATACCATCTAGATTTTTGTAAGTACACCTTATGATGTTTGCACAGCAATGAAATCACCTAATGCCTTTCTCAGAACGTATTCCCATTGTTAAGCAATGCCTGGCTGTAGCAATGCATCCATTACCCAGTTTCCACAGTTATTACATGGCCAGTTTCATTTCATCTATACCAGTGCTCCCTATACCTTCCCCCCAGGCTATTTGGAATGAAATCACATATGTCACATCAATTTTATCTATAAATGAATATCTGTATGTATGCATATGTATGTATCTCTAAAAGATGGGAGCATATTTTTGTTTTTTTACTAAAATACTATTATTACCTCTCAAATTTAAAATTTAACTTAAAATTTAAGTTTTGATATAATTGAATATCCATTTAGTATTCATGTTTTTCCCATTGTCTCATAAAGGATTTTTTTTTTTTTACAATTGATTTACTTGAATCTAGATCTAATCACGGTCCATATATTGCATTTGATTGATATGTTCCTTAAGTAACTTTTAATCTATAGTTACCTCTCTCTGTCCTTTTTTCCTTCTTCCCTTATAATTTATTTATTGAATACACTAGGCTGTCCTGCAGAATTTTTTATATTTTGAATTTTGATTACTGTATCTCTCTGGTATCATTGAACATGTTCCTCTATCCCCTTTATTTCTTACGAGTTGGTAGTTAAATCCAGAGGTTTGTTCAGAGTTGGGTTTAAATTTTTTTGAAAGAATACTTTATTGTGCATCTTTTTGCATTGTATTACGAGGCACATAATGCATCATTGTCTCTCTCAGTAGTGATAAGATTGATCCCTGGATTCATGTATTGTCAGCTGAATATTGTCACTAAACTGTCTGGTGTAAAGTTCTCTGACAATCTTTTACCTAATGGTTTTAGCAGCCATTCGTGATTATTGCTTAGATCCATTACTTTATTAGGGATTGTAAAATAGTGTTATTTGAATTTTATCATTCCTTATTTATTAGTTGGACTTCTATAAAGAGGAACTTTGTTATTAAGTCTTTTATTATGCAGTACAGTTTATATAGGAGAGCAGAATAAATACCATATTTCCCTTATTTACTGATTTTCAGATTGAGTTCATTCCCTAAAATCCTCCACAGGTAACCAAAGAGTTCTTTTTTAAAAATTTTTGACTATCATTTTAAATTTGCCCCTTCCTTCTGCCCTCTTCTCTGTCTCTTCCTCCCTTTCAACATGTATATTAAATGAGAATGT